TTTAAGGAAGCAGCTTTGGAGGGTCTATTTTAGATCCTTGAAGTTATAAATTGTTATATTTGTCGTCACTTAGTATTATACAGGGTGTTCAAAAAACTGCTGAATACTTCTCTCAACTTTAAACAGCAATAACTTGGTTATTTTAAATGGAACACCCAGTATATTTTTACTTTGGGAGTTAGTAAATTTAAAACTCTTTCGAACTGTGTATAGGTTTCCTATACCTATCTCTAACGGTGGCCCACCCTGTATATATATATATACTAGCTGACCCGGCAAACGTTGTCTTGCCATCTTGTGGAACTGTGGATGGAACAAAATTTAGAACTGTATGTATTTTTCAATGCTGAATCATGAAAAAATAAAAACAGAAAATTTTGTCCAAAAAAAAAAAATTTTGGGGTGGACCACCCTTAACATTTAGGGGTATGAAAAATAGATGTTGGCCGATTCTCAGACCTACTCAATATGCTCACAAAATTTCATGAGAATCGGTCAAGCCGTTTCGGAGGAGTACGGGAACGAACATTGTGACACGAGAATTTTATATATAAGATATTTAATTATACCTACATAAATGGTTTAATAAAAATAACTAATAAATAATAACTTACTAAAATAAAGTTTAAATAACCAATTTAAGCTCAAGTTTGTTGTTCATACATATAGCCCAGGGATATGAGGAAAATGCCGTGACTGTTGAGTAGCCAAGGATCTGTAAAGTTTTTCATAAAATTTGGGTGAATTTTCGTACAATATGTGCAAAACCCACACACCATCAGATGGGGTTTTTTAATAATTAACAATAAAAGGTCTAAAATAACCCAAAATATCACTTTTTTCCTACCAGAAAAAAACTATAATATTTATTATAATGTGAAAGTAATTAACTTGTAGGGAATAAAAAAACCTTTAAAATGGTGGTTTTTAAAATCCGATACGATAATTTGCTGCTCGGGAAATTGCAAAAAGCTGTAAAAATTCGATTATTATTAAATAAACAATAAGTTTTGCTAAAGTCAACCTACGACTTTGATATTGCATAAATAGTTGACTTTTATAGTCTTTAATATGTGACTAAATTTTCAGACCGATTCATACATTGCAAAATTCTAAATGTTTATCCCAGAAGCATTATTTTTGCAATAACTTGACACGCAAAGTTACCAAGATATTTTAATTTTGCGGGTGTCATATGAAAGAGAAAGACTTCTTTTATTGGAAGAAATTATTTTATTGCAAAAAAAATGTTTTTTTACACTGCAAAAACGTACCACAAAAACACTGTCACTTTTGTCTTATAAATTAGAATAAATTTGTTGCTATTATATTTAGAGAGATTAGTTTTCCATATTCGTAAAGCTGGTATTTTTACACAAATTTTAAAATTTATAATTTGGGGCAAAGTTAGACACTTTTTTTAAAAAATCTCAGCTACTTTGTATATAACAATTAACAATTAGGTATACTATGGCATAAGTGCCACTTCGAAGATAAAGAGTTAAAGTTTCTATGTGAAATTTTTAAGAATGATAGTTCCAAATGCGAATGCTCCAAATAACTACTTCGATACAAGATGACGGTGAGTCAGTGGAGTGGGAACCTACAAATTCACGAGCAAATTGATAGAGCAAGTTATATCTCTGGAACTTGTTGACCGATTTTGATGCTTTTTTTTAATTTGGGGTACCTTCTTACGTACATCACAAATATGCATTTTGTTAATAAATAAAAATTTAAATTAATCCAGTAATTTGTTTAAATATTAACAATTTTTTTTTTTGCAAAATATCAACATCTGTAATTTTTTGTAATGGAACATTATAGGAATCATTTTTTAATAAATTAATATTGAGATTAACTAAGTATTTTATTTAAACTTTTACCAAAAAAAAAATTCTAAATTATCAACATTTTCGCAGTTATTTTGATGGGAAGTTATAGATATAGGTTTAATTTTTTTCTTATTAATAAATTAACAATTAAATAATTGAATAATTTGTTTTTGCAGTGTAAAAAACAATTTTTTTGAAATAAAATAATTTCATCCAATGAAAGAAGTCTTTCTATTTCATATGAAATCCGCAGAATTAAAATATCTTGGTAATTTTGCCTGTCAAGTTATTGCAAACATAATGCCTCTGGGATAAACATTTAGAATTTTGCAAAAACTATTGGATGAATCGGTCTGAAATTTTAATCACATATTGTTAAGGACCATAAAAGCCAACTATTTATGCAATATCAAAGTAAAATAAAACGAAATAATCCTTTTTTTCTTAGCGACACCGTTGGCAAATAAATGCTTATAGGATTACCAAAATACTTAGAGGTGTGAAAATTCTGGGGGTAATCTTATACTGATAATGCCTCTCTATATTTCCATCTTTGGACACGTAAAATTTTGCCTTGAATTATGAACATTATTATTCCCAAAAAAAACACAAAGAATGTGATTGTGCACGACGGTGCTCTAGCCTAGCCCATTTCAGTTTGTTTGCATATCCGAATCATTGGATAAGTAGAGGAGGATTGGAGGAGTAGAGGAGTAGAGGAGGACAAGCTTGGCCTCCACATTCCCCAGACTTAAATCTTCTTGATCTCTTACTCTGAGGACATCTTAAACAAATGGTTTAAACGAATCCAATTGCAAATATGTAGGAAATGTGGAATTTCTTTTTCGCTTCTTGTGGGACATTTCGACAGACTCCAGGCATTTATGAAAGTGTTCGCCAGTCAATGCGTTAAAAAATAGAAGCTTGCAATGAAGTTGAAGGTATTTTTTGCATAAATTGTAAAAAAAGGAAACTTATTTCAGTTTCTTTACTAAAAATCGCGTTATTTAGGAGATATTTAGGGATTTACATAAAATATAAAATAAACTTGCTTGCAGAAGATTTAGATTTTAATATACAGGGTGATTCACAAATGGTGACCAAAAATGAAACCTCGTATTCTTTGGTGAATTTTAAGGGGAGTCTTTCCTATAAAGTTTTTATCTAGGACGCTTCGTTAAAAAGATACAGGGTGTTAAACTTCAAAAAATATTTTTAACTTTCTTAAATAATTTAGAAACTAGTAAGTGAAATAATTTGAAATTGGGCACATGTATTTATGTAAACATTGTCCAAAATCTGAGGGCTTTTCCTAAAATGTACATGCTCCAGAGGCGAAGATACAGGATACGGTGGCATATTTTTGTAAATAAAATAGTACGCCACTGCTTTACGGTAACAACCATGATATTTTCGGATTCCTCTTTCAATTTTCTACAAATTAGTACTCTTATATTTTTCGAAAAAAGCCTGATTTTCATCAGATTCCAGCAACAACAGATTTCGAACAAATTACATTTTTGTTACTAAAAATATGTCGGGCGTGTGTTCGTGTAAATTGAGGTATTTTTGAGCATTTACTTTAAATTAATAATAATTAAAAATATTTTTTGAAGTTTAACACCCTGTATCTTTTTAACGAAGTGTCTTAGATAAAAACTTTATACGAAAGACTGGCCTTAAAATTCAGGTTTCTTGGTCGCCATTTGTGAATCACCATGTATAGATTGTCTTTACAGGGTCTGTACAACGCTCCCCCATTGTATGGTTCAAAATAGTCGATTTAACTAAACTTGCCTTAGTCCAAAAATTGACAATAACGAAGCTACAGGGTGTTAAACTATTTTGTGCCGCGGTGTATTTCACTTTGGGCTGGATAAATCTTTCACCCAACTTTTCTGCTTAAAAAAAGGTATACCTTGCTAATATCTCTAAAGTCAACTGTTTTCAACAAAAAGGCATTTATATTTGTAAATGCATAAAAAAAATTGTTTAAAAGTTATTTTCAACCCACTGATAAACAAGATTATGAGCAATCGTTTATTACCAAAAAATATGCCTTTATAGGAAACAGTGCAGTTACTATTTTAAATTTCGTTTATTTAGCAATTTTACTAGAAACGAAATTGACAGAATAAATATACTTTCTAAAAACAATCTGTCAATCTAACATCTAACACAATCTAAACAATGTAACCAATCTAAACGATCTAAAAATCTAAAAATAACAAATTTTTATTAACATGTCTTAAAAGAGATGTTTTTCAATGAAGTTGAAAATAATTTTTAAATAATTTTTTTTATGTATGTATTTATAAATTTAAATGTCTTTTTGTTGAAAACCGTTGGATTTAGTTAGGTATATTAGCAAGG